AGGCCAGATAAGCAAGTGACTTTGCAGTGGGTAGACCTCGCTGACTGTTGTGTTCTTGTTTGATTTGGGAACCAACTTGGGGCCTAAATCAACGCTAACACTCGAGGGGCAAGTATCTTCACTGATATGGAGATTGTAATGGATCTGAGACTGGACTCATTTCCGCGGCAAGACTCAAATCTAAGGTTGTGTCCAAATTACCTGGCAGGGGCCTGAGATTATGGTATGCATGAGTCTATGATAGCGGCCTCGGCAGTTCCCACAGAGTTGCTATAACCTCAAACCACAGTCAAGTGTTTTAAACACTGCCTATCATGTTTGCAACTTTTTTAAAAAGAGAAAAAATGTTTTCCAAGATTTGTAAGACATTACGAGTAATTGGTGCAGGTGGTTGGTTACTTGACATATGGTATTAGTAAGTTTGTAAGCCCCACTACATGTCGGCATCTCTTCAAACTCCTGACCACAGACAGAGCACACTGTCTGAAACGTTTCAGAACCATATGGACTCACAAAAAGATCGTATCCTTGCATGGTGCTACCGCAAGCTTTCCACCTTAATATTGGAACCCTTGACAGCATTTCCTTCGTAAACCAGTTCACCCTTTTTGTTCCAAGTCATGACGTCATCATGCTTTAGGCTGTTCACAAGCAGTTTGGCTTTGCGCTGTAAGGTTTTAGGCACACTCGAGAGAATTTGCGGTGTTATGTTGTTCTCCTTCTCGGTCAGCGTCGCAGGGTCTCCGTCCGTCGTGCCGCCCGATGGCGCTTGGTCCTCCGACCCTCTGCTAGATCCCTCCGCCGGTGTAGAATCGTGACAGACATGGGTTCGGATTTATGGGCGTGATCGTATTGAAGATGCTGTTGCAACGTTAGCTGGTATAGCGACAGTTTAGCGTCGTCGGGAAAGTCCGTTCTGGCCAAAATGTCTTTCATGTGCCCAACTCCACAGCTTTCGCAGAGTTCCTCCGCGGGCAGCACATCAGAAGCCATGAGGCGTTGATCTTTTTCGACGTTGTGTCTTTGTTTACCAACGTCCCCATAGACGGCGCTTGCTGTGTGGCCCTTCGTCGCCTGGAGGAAGACCCTGAGTTGCCTGACCGGACAACGCTCTCCCCTGCTGAGATCGCCTCCCTGCTAGAGTTTGTCCTGCGTTCCACGTATTTCCTGTACGATGGATCGTACTACGAACAGACAGACGGAGCAGCTATGGGTAGTCCGGTGTCAGGGGTTATTGCCAATCTGTACATGGAATCGTTCGAGGAGGAAGCCCTACAGAGTTGCCCACCCGACTGCCGTCCTACCCTGTGGAAACGGTACGTCGATGACACCTTTGTAATTGCAACACGGGATCAAGCTAGCCGTCTGCTCGACCACCTGAACAGTCTCAAGCCCAACATCCAGTTTACCATCGAGAATGAACAAGACAACAGCATTGCATTCCTGGACACCATGGTCCACAGGGAACCCGACGGCAGCCTGACCAGCACCGTGTATCGCAAGCCTACCCACACCGACCAGTACCTGGCCTTTGACTCACACCACCCAGTGTCCGTCAAGAGGGGCGTGGCCAAGTGCCTACATGACCGCGCTTCACGTCTAGTCACCAGACCGCACCACACAGCCGAGAGACGCCGAGTCACCGCTGCCCTCACGGCGAACGGGTATCCAGCATCCTTCATCCGGCGGTCATCGAGACCCAAGACCAGCACCGAAGTGGCGCAACTGGAGTACAAGGCTTTCACCGTTCTTCCCTTTGTGGACGGTATCTCTGGACGGCTGAAGAGGATCCTGGAGGACCACGGCGTCCGCACCGTGTTCCGATCATCCACCACCTTGAGGAACCAATTCGTGCGTCCTAAAGATCCTATCCCACCCGGAAGACGCGGAGGAGTGGTCTACAAGATACC